AGTCAAAGGTCCTGCTTGACCATGTCTGGCTTCACTTGGAAGCATGAATGAGATATTTCCTCTGAGTTGACCCTCCTCTTTGTAGACTGGACACTGGTTCAAGTCCATCTCGTGGGGTCTCCATGTTCTCCCTGAACAAGAGAACGGGTGACTCACCACAGTTACAGAACTCAAAAAACAATCAAGACAGTAACCCAACATACTACTGGAAAAATGAACAGCAGACCCCAATTCCCTGTGACATACTTCACAGAATTAGAAAAAACTATCCTTAAGTTCATATGGAAGCACAAAGACCCCGGATAGCCAATGCAACCCTGAGCACAAAGAGCAAGCCTGGATGGATTACTGTAACAGATCTCAAAGTATACTACAGAGCTGTAGTCCTAAAAACAGCATGGTACTGGCACAAAAATAGACACATAGTTCAATGGAACATCACTGAAAATCCAAACCCAGGTACATGCAATTTCAGCCACCTGATATTTGACAAAGGTACCAAGAACACACAATGGAGGAAAGACAGCATCTTCAACAAATGGTGCTGGCAAAACTGGATCTCCACCTGTAGAAGAATGAAACTAGATCCTTATATTTCACCTTGCACAAAAGTCAACTCCAAATGGATCAGACACCTCAGTTTGAAATTGGAAACCCTGAAACTATTACAGGAAAATATTGGTAGTAACTTACAAGATATAGGTGTTGGAAAGGATTTTCTAAATCGGACAGAAGTTGCTCAGGAATTAAGGTCAGCAATCAATAAGTGGGACCTCATTAAACTAAAGAGCTTCTGTACAGCAAAAGACACAATCAAAAAACTGAAGAGAAAACCCACAGAATGGGAAAAAATCTTCACCAGTGACACATCTGACAGAGGTTCAACATCCAGAATATATAAAAAACTCAAAAGAAGTGAGAAATCAAATGACCCAATTAAAAGATGGGCTAAAGATCTAAACAGAGAGTTCTCAAGTGAAGAAATAAAAATGGCTAAGAAACATCTCAAAAAGTGTTCAACATCGTTAGTAATTAGGGAAATGCAAATTAAAACCACCCTAAGGTATCGCCTTACTCCAATCAGACTGGCTAGGATCAAGAGAACAAATGATACCAAATGCTGGCCAGGATGTGGAGAAAGGGGAATGCTCATTTACTGCTGGTAGGATTGCAAACTCATGCAACTTCTATGGAAAACAGTGTAGAGAACTCTTAGAAAACTAAAAATGAACCTACCATACAACCTGGTTATACCACTCTTTGGCGTATACCCAAAGGTTTCATCCTGTTGTAGAGACACTTGCACAACCATGTTTGTTGCTGCTCTTTTCACAATAGCTAAGAGATGGAAGCAACCTAAGTGCCCCTCAACTGACGAGTCGTTAACAAAAATGTGGTATATTTACATGATGGATTTCTATTCAGCAGTAAAGAAAGATGAAATAATGAAATTTGCAGGTAAATGGATGGATCTAGAAACATTATACTAAGTGAAGTAACACAGGCTCAGAAAAACAAATGATGTATGTTCTCCCTCATATGTGGATCCTAGCACCAAATCCTTTTAAATTCCAGGTCCTTTTAATAAGATGATGATATACAGCAGTCCCTTCTGCATGAAATAACTACCATCATCAGGACTTCAGTTGAGCCTGATCGCTAAACATCGTCACAATTGAGCTTGTTGACGGTTGTGCTCATTCATTAAATGAAGGCCAACCAGGGTCATTGGACCTCACAGCATTATCCATCTACTCTTCCCAGCCAACTAAATGTAATTTTCCCCTAATCACACATGGCCTCCTGGGTTTGGGGAGGGCTAAAGTATACAATCTGGCGAAGGCTAAGAAGAGAAGGCATGACTTATGCTGGGTAAAGGCTTTCCAGTGTGCATACCCTCAGGTCATACATACACCTCAGCAACCTCTCAGTTATCTCAGTAAGTAAGCTCAATAAATTCATTGGTTCCCAGTAAAACTTTAATCAAACATTGGCTTGATACTAGAACCTTAAAAGGGAATAAGCATTGCTTAGCATTTCCAGGAAAAGAAGTCTCACAAAACATAGACATTATATTTGTTAATGTTATTACATCTCATAATTATTTAAACAAAAGAAAATGAGAATATAAAAGATGTTAAAAAGGATATGGGAAAGGAGATATTTTCCAAAATAGAAAAAATGAGGAGTCTAAGCAAGTGATGAAGGTCTGTTTAGGTCTGTTATGATATATAAAAGATGAGACAAAAATAATATACACATAATCTTAAAATGTCTATAGTCGTAGTTTAGTCAACTAGTTTAAGGAGTAAAATATGTATCTAGTCAAAGTTTATCTGAGAATATTTTGGCTTTTACCCAAGCCTTACCTACATAGCACGTGATCATTAAAAGTACCAGACTGGTGGAACTAACCTTACTGGATGTTTAACAGCCATAGTTTGAGGCCTATACTAATGTGGTCAGAGGGAGTTAAAGGATAGTTTTTTACCCTTGCCCTCCAATGTTGACTAAGTTCCAGGGGACTATGGAACATATCTCAAAATCACCATGGATTCTAAACAAACCTCTGGGCATATCTGTGAGAGATTTTCTAGATTAGGTTAATTGGGGTGGAGAGATCCACCCTAATGCTGGCAGCACCATCCTGTGGGCTGTAGTCTTGTACTGAACAAAAAGGAGTGCGCAGAGCATCAGCATTCAGCTGTTTTGTGACTGTGATGCAAGGTGACCAACTGCCTCAAACTCTGATAAAAGGTGCAGATCAGATTCTGGAGGGGCAGGTCCTGTGTTTTCCACTTTCTTGTGTCCTGGAACAAATAATTGGACCAGGGACACATGGATAGTCATACAAATAGAGACAGCTTTATGAAGAAAAGAAAGGCACTCCCACTCCCAAGAACAAAAGTCAGCTAATGAGCTGGGACAAGTCTATTTCAAGAACCTTGGGCCCTGTGAGTTTTGATTCCTTATTTATATCACACCTGCCTTTGCCCAGAGCTCTCATAGGGTTTTCTTAGGCACACTGTTTTGTTACATGTAGCCCTGTAGTCAGAGGAGAGCTTTCCAGCCTTCCTCTGACAACTCGCTTTTTTCATATGTTGATCTTGATGTTATATTTTTTCTACCCCTATACTCCTGCCACCTCCTTCCACCATGATTTCCCTGTCATGATGGAGTGTACCCTTCCTCCCTAAGTTGCTTTTGCCAGGTATTTTATCACAGCAATGAGACAAATAACTAATTAATACAAGTTACAAATTGATGTTTTTTTCATATATACATAGGGGTTTTTGGACATAGGATTTGCATTTGCATTTGCTTTCCAGATTTACAAGGATTTGCATTTGCTTTCAGGATTTAAATGGATTTTTTTCTCCAGTGAACATCAGTGGTGAGTAAACCACTTTTAGTCATGACTAATGGGATTGGCCATGGGAAAAAAGTAAATATCAGAGAGCTTTGAAATCTATGAAACACAACAAAAACATATAGCACTCTATTTTGAAATGCACTGAGATACTGGTTATCACTTTGCAAATAATTTCAATGTCATTTACAAAATAAAACAAAAATGCATTTTTTTTCAGTTGTTGCTATTTATTGGCATCAGTCTCAGAAAAATGAAACTAGCATTCTGAGATATTTATCATTTATGAAGTTACAAGATGAACCATGCCCAATTAAATGAACCTTTAAGCTATAGTTGGCCTAATACCCTTTGTATAAATCTGACACTTCTAATATAGCTTATCTACAAAACCAATTTCTTACTCTGTACTCTTTAAAATAAATACCCATTACATCATTTAGATAATTTCTACCATGTGAAAAGCAATAAGTCATTTAGAATACAATTCTGACTAGAAATGTCAGAGAAGTACTTATCATAGGTCAAGGGTCAATGCTTTCCAGACAAAAACCACTAGGAACATGTCTGTAGTTGAATAAGTGGGTTTATTATTCATTGCAGAGAGGAAGAAGGCATGCTTTAAGGAGCTGTAGTTATTTGGACATTGAATGTGTAAAAGGCCTCCAGAGGTTCAAGTGTAAAGGGCTTGGTCCCAGGGAGAACAGAGAGGAAGGTTCTTAGAGCATTGGAGTTCCTGCTCTCAGAGGGAATTGTGAGATGAGGCTCCTTCCAGGCTTTGTTCCCTGGATAATGAGGGAAGTGATTTTCTCTGCTATTATGATGTCCTGACTTCACCAGAGGCCAATGCAACAGGATTATTAGATTCTGCACTGAAACCCCCAGAACCATTAGCCAAACTAATCTTTTCTATAAGTTTCAATAAAACTCTCCCACCCCATCCACTCTTCCCAGTGTTCAGTGGGAAATGACTTGTTCAAATTCACTTCTGTAGTTGAGAAGTTGAATGCCCTCAAAGGATTTGTGTTTAGGAGACTTGGTCCCCAGGATGTGGTAATGACTTTTACTCAACCTGAGAACCAAAAAATTAATCTTATCTAAATTTGTTTGTAGTGTAAACAAATCTACTAGGCTTTGAGTGCCTCTTGTAACCAAAACATAACTTTAATCCCTCATGACCCTTACTTGCACTGGACCTATAATAGTGTGTGTATGGATATGTGTATATGGTAAATATCAAAAGCACTGCAAACAGTGATTATTCATTGGAAACAACGAAGGTATGAAGTTTATTCCATTTGTGTTAAAAAAATAGCTGGAATTAAATTGATAACATCTGGTTTTATGTGTGTATTGAGTTAGGTCTAGGGATTATTAAGGGAAAAAAACTATCTTATCAGACCTTTATCAAGGTCTGACTTTTACTTCTCCATTTCATGCTGGATACACTATTTCAATAAATCAAAAAGTGAGCCCTTTTCTGGAGTACAGTTCCTAAGGAACTCTAAGGGAACAGGTTCTGAGCAGTTCAGGTCCACTCTTGGCTTTAAAATGGTTGCTGAGAGTCAGGCTGCTTTTATTAAGGCACGACCATAATGTGGTTTGGCATAGTAAATGCTGCACCAGGAAAATGGTGTTGAAGATGGTGCAGAAACTTAAGAGGCAAGCCCTAAAGAAAAGTCCTTACATCACTAGGGCCTCTGCTCCCAGAAGGGGGTACTACTCTGCTAGAGGGAATTCTCAAGAGAATGATTTGGATGGCTACAATATCCATCAAGGTCTCAATAAAAACCTTGGCTTCAGTCCTGAAGACAGAGAGGAGACTGCACCACGTCACAGAGGTTGCTAAGCTGTTTGCTGATGCTGGTTTAGTGTGCATCACAAGTTTTATCACCTTATACATAGGATTGAACAAATTTGCAAGGCAAATTCATGAGTGTGCAAGCTTACATTTTTTTGAGGTATTTGTTGATGCTCCCCTGCATGTTTATGAACAAAGGGATGTCAAAGGACTCTACAAGAAAGTGCAAGCAGGAGAAATTAAAGGTTTCACTGGGATGGATTCTGAGTATGAAAAACCAGAGGCCCCTGAGTTGGTGCTGAACACTGACTCCTGTGACATTAATGACTGTGTCCAGCAAGTGGTGGAGTGTCTACAGGAACGGGACATCATCCTTGTGGATGCCTCTTACAAAGTAAAGAACTGTATGTGCCAGAAAAAAAACTCCATTTGTTAAAAACCAATGCAGAAGCATTTCAGCACTGAAGATAAATAAAGTGGATATGCAGCGCGTGCAGGTTTTGGCAGAAGGTTGGGCGAGTCCTCTGAATGGCTTCATGACAGAGAGAGGGAGTACTTGCAGTGCTTTAATTTTGATTGCCTTCTGGATGGGGGTGTCATTAACTTGTCAGTGCCTATAGTTCCGACAGCTACACACGAGGACAAAGACTGGATAACTGCACAGCATTTGCTCTGATGTATGAGGGCAGCCGTGTGGCTATTCTCCAAAATCCAGATTTTTTTTGAGCACAGAAAAGAGGAGCTTTGTGCCAGACAGTGGGGAACGACATGCAAGAACCACCCACACATTAAGATGGTTATGGAACAAGGAGATTGGCTGATTGGAGGAGATCTTCAAGTCCTGGACCGAATTTACTGGAATGATGGTCTTGATCAGTATCATCTTACTCCAACTGAACTGAAGCAGAAGTTTAAAGATATGAATGCTGACTCTGTGTCTGCATTTCAGTTGCACAACCCAGTGCACAATGGACATACTATGTTAATGCAGGACACCCACAACAGCTTCTAGAGAGGAGCTACCAGCACCCTGTTCTCCTCCTTCACCCTCTTGGTGGCTGGACAAAAGATGATGACGTCCCTTTGACGTGGTGTATGAAGTAGCATGATGTGGTGCTGGAGGAGGAATCTTGAATTCGGAAACGACAGCGGTAGCCATCTTCCCGTCTTCCATGATGTATACTGGGCCAACTGAAGTCCAGTGGCACTGCAAAACACACATGGTTGCATGAGGCAGTTTTTGTATTATTGGACGAGACCCTGCTGGCATGCCCCATCCAGAATCAGGGAAGGACCTGTACGATCCGACCCATGGTGCCAAGGTGCTGACGGTGGCCCCTCGTCCAACCACCTTGTAAATGTTCCCTTTAGAGTTGCAAAATACAAGAAGCAGCGAATCGACCACTAGACTCTGAACACTGTGAAGACTCTGAATTCATTTTGGGAACAAGAATGCACAAACTTGCTCGTGAAGGTCAGAAGCCCCCTGAGGGTTTCATGGCTCCTAAAGCCTGGAGAGTGATGACAGAATACTACAAGTCCTTGGAGAAAGCTTAAGCTGCTGAGCTGATCACTAAGGTGGTCACTCCACCTGGGTCTTGTGGAGGGGACCACTCAGTCATCCCATCACTTCTTTGTGGTTGTGTCTTCTGCACACACTTCAAAAACAGACTATTTTGCTTTTCTTGCCTCAATTTTTGTGTGCCTTTGAGTTCTCTTTTGAACTAGTATAACACACTGCCGGTTTTAATGTACCTTTTCCACTTACTATCATTAATAATCATATAGTATGATTTTGAAATCTTGTCTTTTTATATTGTATTTATGTTCTGACTTAGGATTTTTTCCAAGCTGTTAAAATAGTTTTAATCATTAATTTACACATTGAATTGGCTTTTCATCCCTTAAGAAAGAAAAATCACTAAGACAAACTTAGGCCTTGCTTTGAAATTTTACAAATTTTACAAGACATCTATAGCAATTAGTGTTTTGTTTTTGTTTTCCACTGAAAATGTACACTGTTTCCTCTCTACCCCAAATCTGCTATTGCCCTTTAGCCTCCTGTCTGCTAAGGTATCCATATGTCTAAGTGTTGAATTAACTTCTTTATTCAATAAAATTAAAAATTTTGGCTTCTTAAAAAAATAACTTTGAGATTAGAAATGCATGTGCAAACATCCAATGTCAATTGCATTGAAAAAGAATTTTTCTATATGAAACTGTGTATTTTAATAATGAAATGGAAATCTTTTTAAAGGTTAAAACATCATTTAATTTATGTCTTATAGGGTTTATACTGAGTACAATATTGTATAACTGTAATAATTCAACTGTAAACCT